CGCCTTTTCTTGAAGAAGCTGTAGCTGTTTTTTGTTTTGATCTTGCTGTATCTGCTCCTTCTCTTTTATTTCTCTTTGAAGCTGTTCCTGATAAAATTCTCTCTCTCTTTGTTGCAGATGATCTTGAACTATTTGAAGCTGTTTTTCCATTCCCAAATTCTCCCAATCACTCAGTATCCTTCTTCTTAGTTGATCTTGATACTGGTCCAGAGGTATTACACTAGTAGACCAATCATTATCACTAGTATATCCTATACAGTAACAAAAGTTGTGGAGAAGAAGATAATAATTACAGTTAGTTACTATAGATATTGATGGATTCATTTTTAATCATTGTATGTGTGACCTTTGTCAGTTTACACAGTTGACCACATGAAAATATTATTGTATATTTAATGTATAGTTGCAGCAAAGATCAAAGGCCTAACAGTTGTGATAAAACCCACAGAACACTCCCACCACAGTGTGATATTATAAATAGCACACTCATTTATTTAATGTGCAGCAGTGTGATATCAGTGATAGCAGAGCACGTGCAATCTTTGCTGCATACACTAAAACAATTAATACATGTGGCGTCGTGCGCTATCTGATTTATCTGCACTCGCTTCCGGTCTCGTCGCTAAAATAGTGCACTCGGCCTTCGGCCTCGTGCGCTATTTTTAGCGACTCGACCGGAAGCTCGTGTGGATAAATCAGATAGAACACGCCGCCCCATGTATTAACTATTACATAAATACACTGATAATAATATTTCATTCACTCTAGCTCCTATTAATATCAGTGTTTCTACAGTCATTATATTTCACTATTGTACATAGCAGGAATGAATTGGTAATAATTTGTATCATAGGTATACATCAAATGCTCTCAGTAAAATTAATATTCATTATACGAAATACTTGCTTCGTTGTATTATTATGATTACAATCATTACATATTTAATACACATTGTATCTACTACTGTGTACATGTACTTACTGAGTTCAATAACTGTTGTATCTTTGTATGATGTTTCTCCCCCAAACTCAATTATCCAGTTAGTTGCTGGTGTCACACTCCACACTAAGAGAGAATGATCATATCTCCAAGTTACATTGACTGGTAAGTTAATCTATAAAATTAACTCAGTAAGTTACCAATAAGTTACTAATAAGTTACCAATAAGTTACCAATAAGCGGCAATCTGATTGGTCAATTGCAAACTAAAAACATGGATTTTAATTGCAACACACATGCATACTGTATAGCACAAAAATTTGAAGGCTTTAAATTTTATAAATTTTGCAATTCTTTGACAATTCAAAAATATAAAATCCATGAAAATCAATTTAATTTGGTACAGAATTGCAAGAGTGTAAGCTTTTAAATATTAAATCTTCAAAATAAATATTCAAAAAATTGATCTATTCCTTGCAAAAAAATTTAAAAGTACATAAAGGCTAGTTTCCATAAATCCAATACAATGCTGTTGCAAAAATTGTGGAGATAGGTAGAGTCCAAGTCTAACTACAAAAAATCTAACCGCCACTGCAGAATACATATAACAGCCTCAGCTATATGGAAACCAGGTTAATGTTTGTGTTGCAGGCCTACTTATTGTATGCATTTTGCAAAGAGCAATTTTTTGGGTTGCCTATAAAATCTATTTTACTGATTTAATTCTCACAAATTTATAATTTACATTGTCAGTGTCAATTTCACAAATCATTTACAAAATCCAAATATTGATGATGGAAGTCTTACTTGGTAATTCATAAAAATTCTGTATAAATAGCCATGCGTCATTGAGTATGCTCAGAATATAACAAATCATTTCTGTGGTTGCTCACTGCACTGCTAATCCACTCATAACTGTGAATACATGCAGACACACAAGCACTTGTTTTTGAAATGAATATATGTATACTTTGTTTAAAAACCCCAAAGACAGGAAGGCAAAATAAACAGACACATGCAAACAGAGAATACATTATATGTATATGCATTACAAAGCTCATTTTAGTATAACTTGTATCATCATTACCTGTTCTTGCCATATTTTTTTATTAATGTCCAATAACCAACTGTTTTTGGTACCCCATCCACCCACCACAAGTAAATGTGGTCCTGAGCTAGTGTCAATCAAAACACTGGAATGAGCCCATCTTTCTTCGGGCCATTCTACTGATCCTTCGGGATTAGGTACTTCTGATATACCCTGAAAAATAAGCAGTATATAGGCTGATGCACACTGCAATATGGTACAACCAGAAGTGCCTGTAAAATGCAGGTGTAATGTAAGAATTAGATAATTCTAATTTTTGCATTTCACAGACACTTTCAATCACTTTTTTGCAGCGACTATATCAGCTTTATAGTAGCCATACACATTTAAAAAATATTGTTTGATTTATTTAACAAAAATTTTATAATGTTATTCTGTTAACTCACCACTGATGTCTTAGTGAAACTTAACATATACAGTTTATTACTGGCCCCATTAGGAGTATAACCTCCGAACATTACTGCAGTGTTATTAGTAACTGGTGTTAGAGTGAAGGAACTAATAGGAGGTGGTCTGTCTCCAGTAACAACAGGAGATATCCATTGATCTAATAATAATGTACAAAAACATTTTTTACGCATACATATTACATACACATTCACCATGCATATGTACATGTATGTGTATATATGTGTACATTATTATTTATGCATACACATCATGCATAGACACATATCACTATCACATGATACACACACACACACACACACACACACACAGATACACTCATGTATGGATACACACACACACCACACCTGTACAAATAAAGGACAGGTGCAGGGGGTGTCCATATTTGAAGATTACTATAATCTAGCTATTCTGGTACATGCATCAGTGATAATAGTCTACTAATAGCTATTTTAGTTTAATTATTTCATTCATATTCTTATTTAGAAAGTTACAGTCTTACATATGTTTGCTTATAATAATTAATTACATGTATGCATAATTTGTGATTCAAAAGTGTAATACACACGACAATTAAACAAGTAACAGTATCACACTAATTAGACACATGTCATACTATAATTGAAGGCGATGCATGATCTTTTTGACCTCAGCCACACTTAGCATATAGGCATAATAAGTGTAAATGTTTTTTTCCATTCAAAAATGCTACAAAATTATGCCATTCTCAAGCAATTTGAATTTTAAAAAGCATAACAAGTACAATAAGTAGCCCTAATTGAGGCTCTATTGCTTTTAAGAAGAACGCTATGCCCTTCATACACAGCCTGGCAAGAACCCCAGAATAACTAACCTGCTGATATCTTGTAATAATGTATTTCATTACATCTACTACGTGCATACTTGGCACTGGGTTGATTTTTAAGTGCATCATTGGAAGATGATCCCTTTCCTGCAATTACTACAAGGTAGTCCTCACCATCAGAATGTAGTGCTACCATTCCACAGTTGGCCTTCATCATTGGACCATGATCAGAAGTAGAAGGAGAAAGTTCCCTCCAGGTGAATGTATCCACGTTGAAAGAATGCAAACTATTATGATAGCAGCCAGAATGACCACAATACCCACCAAAGTAGTAAATTTCCTTTCCAATAGCAACAGATGAATATCCCCAGACACCCAGTGGAGGGTTACCATTTGTAGGCCTCTGCTCCCATTTCCCAGTTGGTAAATGACACATATCCATTAATGACGTCATTTCTTTTTTCATTTCACTATCATGTGTCTCGGGGAGATCAGGCTGGTCTCCACCCCACATATAAAGGTAGTCTCCTACCTTTACTGTGGAGTGTCCATATCTCTCCACTGGTTGATAGTCTATAGAGAACAAGAGGTACCAGTAACAGAGTAACAGTAATATAGTGATGAGCCTTAGAATAAGGACAGGATACAGAGGAGTAAAGCAAGTGAGAGAGTAAGAGAGACAAAGAATGAATGAAAGAGATACAAAGAGAAGAGAATAGTGACCCTCACTTTTAGATGCCATTCTTGAAAAATACCAGCCCCACCTAAGTTGCGTCATAAGTATGACATCACTTCAGACCACACCATATACCAATGCAGGAAGCGGAAGTAGATAGAAAAATATGCAGCAACTTGAGCAAGCTCTAATAATAAACTTCCCAAATCAAGTGTAATGCAAAAATGCAACTAACAATAGTCTATTTGGGTAGTTTACGTTGATTAGCAATAATCAGTCTTCATTTTAATGTTCATGTGCAACCCTCCCTTGAAGCATAGCATACATGTTAGAAGAATGTACATGTGCATAATGTCCCCAGTGTCTAATTTTGGCTGCCATAATAATGGTAGTCTTGTACATGCACAGTAAGATAATAAGATAACATTTACAATACACTGATTAAGATCATTTGACCAGGTCAAAGTGATATGGCAAAAGGCTCCTCCTGAAAGAGCTAGTTACTTCAAGAACAAGTGTATCTAGTCTTGTATAAAACCTTTGCATGAGTACTAGATCTATACGCAGTTACCTAACTTAAGTTCTCATCAAAAGAATTATTTAGAATAAAAATAAAATACAGAAATTGGCTAAGATTAATTAAAACTCATACAAAGAGAACAAAAATAATTTATTATTTTTGATTCTATCAGTTAACTTATCAGGTAGTACCATTAATGATTGAATGTGTTAATATATCACATTAATGATTAAATAATAATGATTAAATTTGTTGATATATCAGTTAGTGTACCATTAATAATAACGTGTACCACTAGTGCCTTTCTCTTTCCTCTCATAAGAGTTCCTGTGGCAGAAGGTACCTAAATATATACACATAGAGTTCATGATATCATTCTACAAAGAGATAAAAGCGTATTTTTCTAATTACATTTATAATATGTTAGTAGGTCATAGGCATATGTACATGTAAATGTAGGTATAGGAATGAAATTTGAATTGAAGGGGGTCAATCCCACAAGTCATGCATGTACATTATAATGGAATATGAATATCGGAAATAATAAAAAATCATTTTTTGTCATTTTTGGACAAAATTGCTCAAACAGCTGGTCAAAACCCTGTACTACAGGATCTTTGACCAAAAACATTAGTAAAAAACCAATTTTGATCTAAATTAGCAAAAAGTTTCTGCACAATATTATTTTACATATACATATCATACTTGTGTATCATGTATGTGTATGTGTATGCATCAAAAACATGTAATAAAAATTGAGAATAATTCCCCCAAATGATTTTTGGTGATATACATGTACATACCCTGTACTAAGTAACATGCTAGCATTATACTACATATACATGTAAGTAGAAAATGTAATAAAAATTGGGAGTCATTTTGGGCCAATTTTTAGAAAAAAAAACACGGGTATATTACAGAGTACTTTTCTAAAATTTAAAGATTTTAAATGATTTGAAAATTATTTGTTAGAAAGAGCTGGAACTTTTTACATAGCATAAGGATATTAATACTGTATAGCAGGAAATTTTGGAGGCATTTATATTTGATGAATTTGCTAAATTTTGGTGATCGGTAAATTTTAAGCGGGCAAAGCTAACATTAATAGCTACATTAATAGTCTGTGCTACAATAAAATTAATAGCTGACCTTTAAATATTAGCTTATGTGCTTCAATAGGAACTAGCTCCAAACTTTTCATGAATAATAATTTTCAAATTGCCAATGCTAATGCTATCAGGATCCTCCAGTAATACATCCTCTACCTTTGATCCTGTGACAATAAATAATATTATACTGACTATTATTAACAGACTAACTAGGGAAATATTTGTCCATAACCTTTGGATAGATGAGCTGCCTATCTACTGCATACAATACCCAGAAAAAGATAGTCACCACCTGAAAGAAAGGAAAAATAACACCAAATAAATACATAGGAAGATGATAGAGGATCAATGTTGATGGAGTTAGACATGACCTGAAAAAGACAAATCAACAAGTCCAATCACCTTATATAAATAAAGTTCACGAAACACATAATGTCACTCAGTTGATACAATACATGTTGTCATGTTCATGTATACATAATGTAGAGCTACATGTACAAGTATAGGAACTGGCCACGAATTTGAGGGCATTAACAAAGATAATGACCAGTCATTGTTGTTAATTTATAGCCAGCAACAGATTAAAAGAATCAGACAGATCGAAAGAAAAAAAGTAAACAAATTCTAGCTATAGGATACAACAGCAGCAAATGCATAAACATACATGTACATGAAAATGCTAGAATGTCAATATCAATGGATGTACTTTTTCATATTTTTGTGAGGAAAGAAATCAAATGACACAGATATGTAAACAATCACATACATGATAATGGAAATGCTCTTCTCCCACCCCAAAAAGAAATAATGAAAATGATACTTTAGTGGGATGGTATATATTAGTTCACTATCACCCCACTACATTATCAATTTCATTTTTCCTTTTAGAGGCGGGAGAAGTATTTTCATGTACTTGGTAGAATAATGCTACCTAAAGTGGTTCTTGTCTCTCTCCTTTCTCTTGTTCTAGTATATTCTGCTGCTGGTTTGGAGTGTAGGATCTATGTCAGTTCATCTGATGGTATCGACAATACCTCTTGTTGGACTGGAGGAGTTCAAACACCTTGTGCTACTATTGATCTAGCTATACAAGGAACTGCTACTCTACAATACAACTGTTCATCAGGTATCCTTATCAACCTGTCTCCTGGTACATATACACTAGACACTACTAGTCTACTAGAGCAACAGCTACTGAGGAATAATGTGAGTATTATTGGTATGAGGGATGGTAATAGATATAAAGAGGTTAGTATCATGTGTCTACATGTTTCCTCTTCTTCATATAACTGGTTAAGGTATATTGCATTTGAATGTGTTAGTCTTTATTATTGTAACAATGTTCCG